AAAGGTAATACAAAGTATTACCTTCAGGAAGCCCGACGACCCCAAATATATTTTTTTCTTTTTTCTTTTTTTTTGGTCTAACTAACTCCAAAAGGTTGGAAAAGAGTTCCTACAAAGGTTTTGGACAGTGATTTTAACCCTAACACCAAAAACCTTAAACCTTACCCTAGCCCCAAAACCTAATACCCGGGTATTACCTTCAGGAAGCCCGAACACCCCAAATATTTTTTTTTTCATTTTACATTTTTTTTTGGTGTAACAAACTCCAAAAGGTCTTAAACATGTTCCTAAAAAGGTTTTGGACTTTGATTTTAACCCTAACGCCAAAAACCTTAAACATTACCCTAGCCCAGAAACCAAGTATTACCTTCAGGAAGCCCAAACACCCAAAAAAAATTTTTTTTCATTTTACATTTTTTTTGGTGTAACCAACTCCAAAAGGTCTGAAACATGTTCCTAAAAAGGTTTTGGACAGTGATTTTAACCCTTACGCCAAAAACCTTAAACCTTACCCTAGCCCCATAACCTAATACCCGGGTATTACCTTCAGGAAGCCCGAACACCCCAAATATTTTTTTTTCATTTATCTTTTTTTTTTTGTCTAACTAATTCCCAAAGGTTGGAAAAGAGTTCCTACAAAGGTTTTGGACAGTGATTTTTACCCTCACGCCGAAAAACCTTAAACCTTACCCTAGCCCCATAACCTAATACCCGGGTATTACCTTCAGGAAGCCCGAACACCCCAAATATATATTTTTTATTTTTCTATTTGTTTTGGTCTAACTTGCTCTCAAAGGTTGGAAAAGAGTTCCTACAAAGGATTTGGACATTGATTTCAACCCTAACGCCAAAAAACTTAAACATTACCCTAGCCCAGAAACCTAGTATTACCTTCAGGAAGCCCGAACACCCCAAATATTTTTTTTTAATTTTACATTTTTTTTTGGTGTTACCAACTGTAAAAGGTCTTAAACATGTTCCTAAAAAGGTTTTGGACAGTGATTTTAACCCTTACGCCAAAAACCTTAAACCTTACCCTAGCCCCATAACGTAATACCCGGGTATTACCTTCAGGAAATCCGAACACCCCAAATATTTTTTTTTTCATTTATCTTTTTTTTTGTCTAACTAATTCCCAAAGGTTGGAAAAGAGTTCCTACAAAGGTTTTCGACAGTGATTTTAACCCTAACGCCAAAAACCTTAAACCTTACCCTAGCCCCAAAACCTAATACCTTGGTATTACCTTCAGGAAGCCCGAACACCCCAAATATTTTCTTTTCATTTTTCGTTTTTTTTTTGGTCTAACTAACTCCAAAAGGTTGGAAAATAGTTCCTTAAAAAATATTGGACAGTGATTTTAACCCTAACGCCAAAAACCTTAAACTTTACTATAGCCCCATAACCTAATACCCGGGTATGACCTTCAGGAAGCTTGAACACCCCAAATATTTTCTTTTCATTTTACATTTTTTTTTGGTGTAACCTACTCCAAAAGGTCTGAAACATGTTCCTAAAAAGGTTTTGGACAGTGATTTTAACCCTAACACCAAAAACCTTAAACCTTACCCTAGCCCCAAAACCTAATACCCGGGTATTACCTTCAGCAAGCTTGAACACCCCAAATATTTTTTTTTATTTTAAATTTTTTTTTTGGTGTTACCAACTCCAAAAGGTCTGAAACATGTTCCTAAAAAGGTTTTGGACGGTGATTTTAACCCTAACGCCAAAAACCTTAAACCTTACCCTAGCCCCATAACCTAATACCTGGGTATTTCCTTCAGGAAGCCCGAAGACCCCAATTATATTTTTTTCCTTTTTTTTTTTTTTTGGTCTAACTAACTCCAAAAGGTTGGAAAAGAGTTCCTACAAAGGTTTTGGACAGTGATTTTTACCCTAACACCAAAAACCTTAAACCTTACCCTAGCCCCAAAACCTTATACCCGGGTATTACCTTCAGGAAGCCCGAACACCCCAAACATTTTTTTTTCATTTATCTTATTTTTTTTGTCTAACTAATTCCCAAAGGTTGGAAAAGAGTTCCTACAAAGGTTTTGGACAGTGATTTTAACCCTCACGCCAAAAACCTTAAACCTTACCCTAGCCCCATAACCTAATACCCGGGTATTACCTTCAGGAAGCCCGAACACCCCAAATATATATTTTTTATTTTTCTTTATTTTTGGTCTAACTTGCTCTCAAAGGTTGGAAAAGAGTTCCTACAAAGGTTTTGGACATTGATTTTAACCCTAACGCCAAAAACCTAAAACATTACCCTAGCCAAGAAACCTAGTATTACCTTCAGGAAGCTTGAACACCCCAAATATTTTTTTTATCATTTTACATTTTTTTTGGTGTAACCAACTCTAAAAGGTCTTAAACATGTTCCTAAAAAGGTTTTGGACAGTGATTTTAACCCTTACGCCAAAAACCTTAAACCCTTCCCTAGCCCCATAACCTAATACCTTGGTATTACCTTCAGGAAGCCCGAACACCCCAAATATTTTTTTTTCATTTTTTTTTTTTTTTTTGTCTAACTAACTCCAAAAGGTCTGAAACATGTTCCTTAAAAAATATTGGACAGTGATTTTAACCCTAACGCCAAAAACCTTAAACCTTACCCTAGCCCCATGACCTAATACCTGGGTATTTCCTTCAGGAAGCCCGGAGACCCCAAATATATTTTTTTCTTTTTTTTTTTTTTTTGGTGTAACTAACTCCAAAAGGTCTGAAAATAGTTCCTACAAAGGTTTTGGACGGTGATTTTAACACTAACGCCAAAAACCTTAAACCTAATCCTAGCCCCAAAACCTAATACCCGGGTATTACCTTCAGGAAGCCCGAACACCCCAAATATTTTTTTTTTCATTTTACATTTTTTTTTGTCTAACTAACTCCCAGAGGTCTGAAAGATGTTCCTTAAAAAATATTGGACAGTGATTTTAACCCTTACGCCAAAAACCTTAAACCTAACCCTAGCCCCATAACCTAATACCCGGGTATTACCTTCAGGAAACCCGAACACCCCAAAATATTTTTTTTTCATTTTACATTTTTTTTGGTGTTACCAACTCCAAAAGGTCTGAAACATGTTCCTAAAAAGGTTTTGGACAGTGATTTTAGCCCGAACACCCCAAATATTTTTTTTCATTTTTCGTTTTTTTTTGGTCTAACTAACTCCAAAAGGTTGGAAAATAGTTCCTACAAAGGTTTTGGACAGTGATTTTAACCCTAACGCCAAAAACCTTAAACCTTACTATAGCCCCATAACCTAATACCCGGGTATTACCTTCAGGAAGCCCGAACACCCCAAATATTTTTTTTTCATTTTACATTTTTTTTGGTGTAACCTACTCCAAAAGGTCTGAAACATGTTCCTAAAAAGGTTTTGGACAGTGATTTTAACCCTAACGCCAAAAACCTTAAACCTTACCCTTGCCCCATAACCTATTACCTGGGTATTTTCTTCAGGAAGCCCGAACACCCCAAATATATATTTTTTATTATTCTTTTTTTTTTTTGGTCTAACTAACTCCAAAAGGTCGGAAAAACATTCCTACAAAGGTTTTGGACAGTGATTTTAACCCTAACGCCAAAAACCTTAAACCTTACCCTAGCCCCAAAACCTAATACCCGGGTATTACCTTCAGGAAACCCGAACACCCCAAATATATTTTTTTTCTTTTTCTTTTTTTTTTGTCTAACTATTTCCCAAAGGTCTGAAACATGTTCCTTTAAATATATTGGACAGTTATTTTAACCCTAACGCCAAAAACCTTAAACCTAACCCTAGCCCCAAAACCTAATACCCAGGTATTACCTTCAGGAAGCCCGAACACCCCAAATATATTTTTTTCATTTATCTTATTTTTTTTGTCTAACTTATTCCCAAAGGTTGGAAAAGAGTTCCTACAAAGGTTTTGGACAGTGATTTTTACCCTCACGCCGAAAAACCTTAAACCTTACCCTTATCCCATAACCTAATACACGGGTATTACCTTCAGGAAGCCCGAACACCCCAAATATACATTTTTTATTTTTCTTTTTGTTTTGGTCTAACTTACTCTCAAAGGTTGGAAAAGAAATCCTACAAAGGTTTTGGACATTGATTTTAACCCTAACGCCAAAAAACTTAAAGCATTACCCTAGCCCAGAAACCTAGTATTACCTTCAGGAAGCCCGAACACCCAAAAAAAATTCTTTTTCATTTTACATTTTTTTTGGTGTAACCAACTCCAAAAGGTCTGAAACATGTTCCTAAAAAGGTTTTGGACAGTGATTTTAACCCTTACGCCAAAAACCTTAAACCCTTCCCTAGCCCCATAACCTAATACCTTGGTATTACCTTCAGGAAGCCCGAACACCCCAAATATTTTTTTTCATTTTTCGTTTTTTTTTGGTCTAACGAACTCCAAAAGGTTGGAAAATAGTTCCTACAAAGGTTTTGGACAGTGATTTTAACCCTAACGCCGAAAACCTTAAACCTTACTATAGCCCCATAACCTAATACCCAGGTATTACCTTCAGGAAGCTTGAACACCCCAAATATTTTTTTTTCATTTTACATTTTTTTTGGTGTAACCTACTCCAAAAGGTCTGAAACATGTTCCTAAAAAGGTTTTGGACATTGATTTTAACCCTAACGCCAAAAACCTTAAACCTTACCCTAGCCCCATAACCTAATACCCGGGTATTTCCTTCAGGAAGCCCGAAGACCCCAATATATTTTTTTCATTTTTTTTTTTTTTTGGTCTAACTAACTCCAAAAGGTTGGAAAAGAGTTCCTACAAAGGTTTTGGACAGTGATTTTAACCCTAACACCAAAAACATTAAACCTTTCCCTGGCCCCAAAACCTATTACCCGGGTATTACCTTCAGGAAGCCCGAACACCCCACATATTTTTTTTTTCATTTTACATTTTTTTTTGGGTGTAACCAACTCCAAAAGGTCTTAAACATGTTCCTTAAAAGGTTTTGGACACTGATTTTAACTCTAACGCCAAAAACCTTAAACCTTACCCTAACCCCATAACCTCTTACCCGGGTATTACCTTCAGGAAGCCCGAACACCCCAAATATTTTTTTTCTTTTTCTTTTTTTTTTGTCTAACTAACTCCCAAAAGGTCTGAAACATGTTCCTTAAAAAATATTGGACAGTGATTTTAACCCTAACGCCAAAAACCTTAAACCTAACCCTAGCCCCAAAACCTAATACCCGGGTATTTCCTTCAGGAAGCCCGAACACCCCAAATATTTTTTTTTCATTTATCTTTTTTTTTTTTGTCCAACTAATTCCCAAAGGTTGGAAAATAGTTCCTACAAAGGTTTTGGACACTGATTTTAACTCTAACGCCAAAAACCTTAAACCTTACCCTAGCCCCATAACCTAATACCCGGGTATTACCTTCAGGAAACCCGAAAACCCCAAATATTTTTTTTTTCTTTTTCTTTTTTTTTTGTCTAACTAACTCCCAAAGGTCTGAAACATGTTCCTTAAAAAATATTGGACAGTGATTTTAACCCTAACGCCAAAAACCTTAAACCTAACCCTAGCCCCAAAACCTAATACCCGGGTATTTCCTTCAGGAAGCCCGAACACCCCAAATATATATTTTTTATTTTTCTTTTTTTTTTTGGTCTAACTTGCTCTCAAAGGTTGGAAAAGAGTTCCTACAAAGGTTTTAGACATTGATTTTAACCCTAACACCAAAAACCTTAAACATTACCCTAGCCAGGAAACCTAGTATTACCTTCAGAAAGCCCGAACACCCAAAAAAATTTGTTTTTCATTTTACATTTTTTTTGGTGTAACCAACTCCAAAAGGTCTGAAACATGTTCCTAAAAAGGTTTTGGACAGTGATTTTAACCCTTACGCCAAAAACCTTAATCCTTACCCTAGCCCCATAACCTAATACCCGGGTATTACCTTCAGGAAGCCCGAACACCCCAAATATTTTTTTTTCATTTATCTTTTTTTTTTTTGTCTAACTAACCCCAAAAGGTTGGAAAAGACTTCCTTCAAAAGACTTACTCCAAAAGGTTGGAAAAGACTTCCTACAAAGGTAATACAAAGTATTACCTTCAGGAAGCCCGAACACCTCAAATATTTTTTTTTAATTTTACATTTTTTTTTGGTGTTACCAACTGTAAAAGGTCTTAAACATGTTCCTAAAAAGGTTTTGGACAGTGATTTTAACCCTTACGCCAAAAACCTTAAACCTTACCCTAGCCCCATAACCTAATACCCGGGTATTACCTTCAGGAAATCCGAACACCCCAAATATATTTTTTTTCATTTATCTTTTTTTTTGTCTAACTAATTCCCAAAGGTTGGAAAAGAGTTCCTACAAAGGTTTTCGACAGTGATTTTAACCCTAACGCCAAAAACCTTAAACCTTACCCTAGCCCCAAAACCTAATACCTTGGTATTACCTTCAGGAAGCCCGAACACCCCAAATATTTTCTTTTCATTTTTCGTTTTTTTTTTTGGTCTAACTAACTCCAAAAGGTTGGAAAATAGTTCCTTAAAAAATATTGGACAGTGATTTTAACCCTAACGCCAAAAACCTTAAACTTTACTATAGCCCCATAACCTAATACCCGGGTATGACCTTCAGGAAGCTTGAACACCCCAAATATTTTCTTTTCATTTTACATTTTTTTTTGGTGTAACCTACTCCAAAAGGTCTGAAACATGTTCCTAAAAAGGTTTTGGACAGTGATTTTAACCCTAACACCAAAAACCTTAAACCTTACCCTAGCCCCAAAACCTAATACCCGGGTATTACCTTCAGCAAGCTTGAACACCCCAAATATTTTTTTTTATTTTACATTTTTTTTTTGGTGTTACCAACTCCAAAAGGTCTGAAACATGTTCCTAAAAAGGTTTTGGACGGTGATTTTAACCCTAACGCCAAAAACCTTAAACCTTACCCTAGCCCCATAACCTAATACCTGGGTATTTCCTTCAGGAAGCCCGAAGACCCCAATTATATTTTTTTCCTTTTTTTTTTTTTTTTGGTCTAACTAACTCCAAAAGGTTGGAAAAGAGTTCCTACAAAGGTTTTGGACAGTGATTTTTACCCTAACACCAAAAACCTTAAACCTTACCCTAGCCCCAAAACCTTATACCCGGGTATTACCTTCAGGAAGCCCGAACACCCCAAACATTTTTTTTTCATTTATCTTATTTTTTTTGTCTAACTAATTCCCAAAGGTTGGAAAAGAGTTCCTACAAAGGTTTTGGACAGTGATTTTTACCCTCACGCCGAAAAACCTTAAACCTTACCCTAGCCCCATAACCTAATACCCGGGTATTACCTTCAGGAAGCCCGAACACCCCAAATATATATTTTTTATTTTTCTTTTTTTTTTGGTCTAACTTGCTCTCAAAGGTTGGAAAAGAGTTCCTACAAAGGTTTTGGACATTGATTTTAACCCTAACGCCAAAAACCTAAAACATTACCCTAGCCAAGAAACCTAGTATTACCTTCAGGAAGCTTGAACACCCCAAATATTTTTTTTATCATTTTACATTTTTTTTGGTGTAACCAACTCTAAAAGGTCTTAAACATGTTCCTAAAAAGGTTTTGGACAGTGATTTTAACCCTTACGCCAAAAACATTAAACCCTTCCCTAGCCCCATAACCTAATACCTTGGTATTACCTTCAGGAAGCCCGAACACCCCAAATATTTTTTTTTCATTTTTTTTTTTTTTTTTTGTCTAACTAACTCCAAAAGGTCTGAAACATGTTCCTTAAAATTTATTGGACAGTGATTTTAACCCTTACGCCAAAAACCTTAAACCTAACCCTAGCCCCAAAACCTAATACCCGGGTATTTCCTTCAGGAAGCCCGAACACCCCAAATATTTTTTTTTCATTTTACATTTTTTTTTGGTGTTACCAACTCCAAAAGGTCTGAAACATGTTCCTAAAAAGGTTTTGGACGGTGATTTTAACCCTAACGCCAAAAACCTTAAACCTTACCCTAGCCCCATGACCTAATACCTGGGTATTTCCTTCAGGAAGCCCGGAGACCCCAAATATATTTTTTTCTTTTTTTTTTTTTTTTGGTCTAACTAACTCCAAAAGGTCTGAAAAGAGTTCCTACAAAGGTTTTGGACGGTGATTTTAACACTAACGCCAAAAACCTTAAACCTAATCCTAGCCCCAAAACCTAATACCCGGGTATTACCTTCAGGAAGCCCGAACACCCCAAATATTTTTTTTTCATTTTACATTTTTTTTTGTCTAACTAACTCCCAGAGGTCTGAAAGATGTTCCTTAAAAAATATTGGACAGTGATTTTAACCCTTACGCCAAAAACCTTAAACCTAACCCTAGCCCCATAACCTAATACCCGGGTATTACCTTCAGGAAGCCCGAACACCCCAAATATTTTTTTTTCATTTATGTTTTTTTTTTTGTCTAACTAACTCCAAAAGGTTGGAAAAGACTTCCTACAAAGGTTTTGGACAGTGATTTTAACCCTAACACCAAAAACCTAAAACATTACCCTAGCCCCAAAACCTAATACCCGGGTATTACCTTCAGGAAAATTGAACACCCCAAATATTTTTTTTTCATTTTACATTTTTTTTTGGTGTTACCAACTTCAAAAGGTCTGAAACATGTTCCTAAAAAGGTTTTGGACAGTGATTTTAACCCTAACGCCAAAAACCTTAAACCTTACCCTAGCCCCATAACCTAATACCTGGGTATTTCCTTCAGGAAGCCCGAAGACCCCAAATATATTTTTTTCATTTTTTTTTTTTTTTGGTCTAACTAACTCCAAAAGGTCTGAAAAGAGTTCCTACAAAGGTTTTGGACAGTTATTTTAACACTAACGCCAAAAACCTTAAACCTAATCCTAGCCCCAAAACCTAATACCCGGGTATTACCTTCAGGAAGCCCAAACACCCCAATTTTTTTTTTTCTTTTTCTTTTTTTTTTGGTCTAACTAACTCCCAGAGGTCTGAAAGATGTTCCTTAAAAAATATTGGACAGTGATTTTAACCCTTACGCCAAAAACCTTAAACCTAACCCTAGCCCCAAAACCTAATACCCGGGTATTACCTTCAGTAACCCAAAAACCCCAAATATTTTTTTTCATTTTTCATTTTTTTTTTGGTCTAACTAACTCCAAAAGGTTGGAAAATAGTTCCTAAAAAGGTTTTGGACAGTGATTTTAACCCTAACGCCAAAAACCTTAAACCTTACTATAGCCCCATAACCTAATACTCGGGTATTACCTTCAGGAAGCTTGAACACCCCAAATATTTTCTTTTCATTTTACATTTTTTTTTTGGTGTAACCAACTCCAAAAGGTCTGAAACATGTTCCTAAAAAGGTTTTGGACAGTGATTTTAACCCTAACGCCAAAAACCTTAAACCTTACCCTAGCCCCATAACCTAATACCTGGGTATTTCCTTCAGGAAGCCCGAAGACCCCAAATATATTTCTTTCATTTTTTTTTTTTTTTTGGTCTAACTAACTCCAAAAGGTTGGAAAAGAGTTCCTACAAAGGTTTTGGACAGTGATTTTAACCCTAACACCAAAAACCTTAAACCTTACCCTAGCCCCATAACCTAATACCTGGGTATTTCCTTCAGGAAGCCCGGAGACCCCAAATATATTTTTTTCATTTTTTTTTTTTTTTGGTCTAACTAACTCCAAAAGGTCTGAAAAGAGTTCCTACAAAGGTTTTGGACGGTGATTTTAACACTAACGCCAAAAACATTAAACCTAATCCTAGCCCCAAAACCTAATACCCGGGTATTACCTTCAGCAAGCTTGAACACCCCAAATATTTTTTTTCTTTTTCTTTTTTTTTTTGTCTAACTAACTCCCAGAGGTCTGAAAGATGTTCCTTAAAAAATGTTGGACAGTGATTTTAACCCTTACGCCAAAAACCTTAAACCTAACCCTAGCCCCATAACCTAATACCCGGGTATTACCTTCAGGAAGCCCGAACACCCCAAATATTTTTTTTTCATTTATCTTTTTTTTTTTGTCTAACTAACTCCAAAAGGTTTGAAAAGACTTCCTACAAAGGTTTTGGACAGTGATTTTAACCCTAACACCAAAAACCTTAAACCTTACCCTAGCCCCAAAACCTAATACCCGGGTATTACCTTCAGGAAGCTTGAACACCCCAAATATTTTTTTTTCATTTTACATTTTTTTTTTGGTGTTACCAACTCCAAAAGGTCTGAAACATGTTCCTAAAAAGGTTTTGGACAGTGATTTTAACCCTAACGCCAAAAACCTTAAACCTTACCCTAGCCCCATAACCTAATATCTGGGTATTTCCTTCAGGAAGCCCGAAGACCCCAAATATATTTTTTTCATTTTTTTTTTTTTTT